TATGTATAGACCCACATCCCTACGTATACGTAGCAAATAAATATTAAATACTGTCCATCTTGAATATATAACAGAAGGAGGAAGCTTGAGAGTTCCACAAGGTTAATGCTGTATGGAATGAAACTATGGCTGAATCTGGATGCTCTGTTATGGATACCACGAAGCCTCCTCCCAGAAGGTAACAAAGAAAACAGGTCATGAAGAGGATGTGTAGTGTCCCAGATAATCTTACGGACCCTGCTCAAACAACGCTTCTGTGCTATGTCCTGGATGGGAGGGAGGTAATTGCCAATGATCTTTTGGGCCATTCTCACCACTCTCTGCATGCCTTCCTATTTGAAGCAGTGATGCCTCCAAACCAGACTGGGATGCTATATGACAGGATGCTCTCGATTGTCCCCCTGTAGAAAGTGGTTAGGACAGGGGAAGGAAAATGTGCTTTCCTCATGCGACACAGAAAATGCAGGCGCTGCTGTGCCCGCTTCATCAGTTTCTCACTATTGACCGAATAAGTCAGCCTATTTGTTAGCTGCACACCTAAGAATTTGATGCTGGTAACCATCTCCACAGGTGAATCATTTATGCACAGAGAAGTGTGGCTGTGCCTGCCTTTTCTGAAATCAACAATGATCTCTTTGTTTTTTCTGGTATTTAAAACTAGGCTGTTTTCCTTACACCAGTTCACCAACCCCTCAACCTCTTTGCAGTAAACTTCCACCTTGTCATCCTGAATAAGGCCCACTACTGTTGTATCACCTGTGAACTTCACAATATGGTGGGTGGCAAACCTAGCACAACAGTCATGGGTCAACAGGGTGAACAGCAGTGGACTTAAGATGCAGCCCTGAGGAGAATCTATGCTCAAGAAAATGGTATTAGAGGTATTTGTTCCAACTCGCACATATTGGGCCTGTTGGTAAGAAAATCAAGAATCCAGTTGCACAAAGGAATGTTTAAGCCTAAAAGGCCCAGTTTGTCTATTAGATGCTGGGGAATGATTGTGTTAAACACCGAACTGAAGTCGACAAACAGCAAATGCACATGAGTATTTCTTTCCTCCAAGTGCTTCAGGCTCAGATGGAGAATGGAAGAAATAGCATCCCTCCTAGAGCGATTTAGTCAGTAGGCAAACTGAAGCAGGTCAAATGCTGGCGGGAGGCTAGATACAACAGTGTCCTTTATCAGCTTCTCAAAGCATTTCATGATGGTGGATGTCACTGCAACCGGATGGTAATCATTGAGGCCTGTAATTGTGGATTTTTTTGGCACTGGCAAGATGATGACCATCTTAAAACATGATGGGACCACTGCCTGCTGCAATGAGAGATTGAAAATATCTGTGAGAACACAAGCCAGCTCCTCCACGCATTCCCTGGGGACACATCCAGGGATGTTATCTGGGCCTGCTGCTTTCCGAATGTTAACTGTCTGCAGTGTTTTTCGGACAGAGGTGACATCAAAGCTTGGCACTTGCTCAACAGGATGGGGCACAGCTTTCCTAGAAGGAGTGCTATTTGATGCCTCAAATCTACCAAAAAATATAGCAGCATAGTAGCTTAGTGGTCACCTCCCATTCGGAAGGTTGAGAGTTCGATTCAAGGTAAGGACACAAAGAGAAAAATATCTGCTGCAAACTCTACATAGTCAGGAAAGGCATCCAGCTCAGTTCCACTCAGTTGCCCCGACTGTATCCTGAATTAAGGGGTTGCAGGGTATATGTATGTATGTATGTATGTATGTATGTGTATATGTATGTATGTGTATATGTATATGTATATGTATATGTATATGTATACGTATATATGTTTTCTGAGATTTTCGCGGGTGTTTGTATGTAGGTCTTTGGTTGTTCGGGTTTTCTCCTGCGTAAAATCGGAAGTGTCTTGGTGACGTTTCGACTAAGTCCCATTCGTCATCTTCAGGCTGGTGTTTTCAGCTTGCTGCTCGAAGCACGAAGCTGAAAACACCAGCCTGAAGATGACAAATGGGACTTCGTCGAAACGTCGCCAAGACACTTCCATTTTTACGCAGGAGAAAATCCAAACAACCAAAGACCTACATATGTATATATGTATATATGTAGTGTTTGGCAGAGACCTGAAAGCCAAGCAAGTTCCCTTACACCAATGAACGATGATATAGGTTAAAAGGGACAGCAGTGAGTATCTTTAAATGGCTTTAAAAGTACACAATGCATTGTCTATCTATTGCTTTTCTGCTCCACTTTATTCCAATACACTTTTATTATAGCTTTTATTCTCAGTACAGCTGGAAGCGGCGACTTTTGGAGACAATCCAACAAACCTAGTAAGATCTTGAAACTTGAGGAGGTTAGACAGACAACATATTATGTTGAGCTTCTCCTTGGGGCATGTTTAAATCTCCAACAGGATAAGTAATGATGTTGAAGAATCTGATCTCCCATCACATAACAATAGAAAACAGCATGGCTAGCTGTTAAAAAAAAAGATTCTTTGCTATTTTTGTTTTCTACTCCTGTGGACTTTATAAAATGATGCCACTTGAGACCAAGATGTGGGGGAAAATGGATTTGTTTCAATTGTGCAATGTCCTGAAATCATAACTCTGAAAGGCAAGGAATTTTTTAGCGGGGGGGGGGGGAATGCACAGCTACCTGAAATTGCTCTCAAATAGGAACTGAGGATAAATTTATTTGGGTCATCATGTAATACTCATAAAATTACACATTTCCAGACCAATAGGTACCCCAAAATTCAATACTGTCCAAAACTTCTCTGAACTTTGCATGTAACATGTTGTGGTTCTCAAGTATATGAAATTGTTGTTACTAGAGAAAAGTGCATACAATCACATTTGCGTGAAAATAACACAGAATAATATAATGCATTAAGAAAAAAACAATGTATAATTGCAGATATAAAAATGCAAAACAAGATGGTTCCTTAGAAATAGAAGCACCAGGATATGAAGACATTCCTGTTTCACCTTTTTATGATTATTTTTTTTTATTTTCAAATGAATGCAAACTTATGACTGGGAAAATGAAAAGCTGACAAAAATTGAGATTGAGCCCTATCAAAAAATGCTTTGTTCAGTGCTAATATTCCCCAGATCAGTTTCCTCCCTTGCTCCTATTTATGGAGTGCGTTGGATGTTTCAATTCCTAGTGTGATCAATCAAACTACGTTGTGCAGCTCTTCCATTTTTGCTTCCTTAACATTTATTTTATGGAAAGAAAACAGATGGAAGAAGCAGTGGGATGCAAAAAAAATTGAAATGGAAGATAAGCCCTCTATGAGTCCATGTTTGAAGAAAGACAAATGTGCAATAAAAACATCATCTGCTATTGCTGCATCTCTCATTTGTAGCATAGATTTTCTTATCATTTTACCATAGATTTTCTTATTATTCTGCACCATCATGCAGACATGAAGAACTTAGGGTTCAATACCTTTCCTAAAGCTTAATTGGCATTTTAGCGCCTTAAAGCTATTATCCCGCTTTTGATTCCATCCATGGCAGTGGTGCCTGAAATCAGAGGTATCTATGTGGGGAGGACAGTCAGAAAAGTCAAGATAGCTGTTGTGATGTAATGACTAAACTCACAGTTTAGATTTCTTGGTGTATCCTTTAGGAAGTTTAGCCAGGTAGAACACAGACATTTTTGACAAGCAGCAAAGTCATATTGAAATGTTATGGATTTCAACCCCAAATCTAGAAGCGCACTGGAGATGGTCTCTTCTCCAGTGGTTCAAGTCCTAGAACTGTGTGGCGGATGAGCTCCCATCACTCACCTCAACTTCTACTCATCTTGCAGTTCAAAAGCATGTTCTATGCGAGAAGATAAATAGGTACTACTTCGGTAAGGAGGCGAGCCAGCACTTCTTACAATGGTTAAGATATTGCTGGCTGTGAACCTTCCTGGTTGCGGCACCCGTTTGCAAGGCGGCTTCAGTGGAGGGAAAAGGTCCTTGGATGGCACTGCAGGAAAAGCCGCTCATATTTCTTTCTGGTGTGAAGCTAGCTCGCCCTCCTGCAGTGGATCTTGGAAAGCATGCAAGTGTGTATTTAACAGAACTTGTAAACAGGTAGCCAAACTACTACTCTGCATTAGCATTATAGTCTCCTGGCAAATGTAACAATGCCATATTGCTAAATAAAAAAGGCAAATATGGCAATAATAGAACTATAAATAAAGTGACTTATTGTCTAATCTCCAGAAATGGATTTCTAACATTCTTTCTGGGCTATAGAACATATACGAAATAAACATTTGAAGGTTTTAAAACAAAGATTAATTGCACATGTTTGAAGCAAAATTTCACTGGGATAGAAAATGAGATAGTCATAAGTGTTATTCAAAAATCTATGTAAATAATAAATAGTGATTCCTTGCAATTCTGACACAGATTATTGGTTTAGTTCATTCTCTGAGGGCTCCAGAAAGCTTCCAATGTCTAATTCTAAAATCTAATTCTAAAATCTAAAATCTCTTCTATAGGGAGAATATTTACTACAGACAGGAGGCAAATGTTTCATCTTGGTTAATAATATGCCAAAGTACCTTTGCATGGTTAGAATACTGTATTATGATACTCAATGTACTCAATCTACCAAAGATACAATGCTAACAGGTACCATTTGATAACTTTCTGCTATCCACCAAAGTCAGTTGAACTGTTACTGTCTCTTCTTTAAATTCTTGATCAACAGATTAAATATAGTAAAATGATTAAGGTATCAGAGGTATATAAATGAGGTATACATTGAAGCCTCCATTTGATCATAGGAATCATTTGATAAATTAGAGCCAAGCCCTCTTCTATCTTTTTTTTCCTTTTTCAAAAATAAAATCAGTTCATTAGAGAAAAGGTTTATAACATTTATAACTTTGGGGACTAAAGAAACAAGAAACAATTAAATGCAGCTTTACAAGATCACACCATAGATTGCAAGTTATTACTTGCAATTCAAAAACCAGAAAGAAAAAAATGCACTGGGAAAAATCCAGTACTAACCTTATATAGCAAAGGCATGTGTCCAAGTTTCAAAAGAGCAATTTTGCTGGACACATTAGTAAACTGTTTAATCCTGAGCAAATCTTCTGGACTTCCATATTGTACATCAAAGACTTCAGCCTAGAAAAACAAAAAGATGAATAATTGATTAGCATATTCTTTTTTCTATATATTAGGAATGAATAGGCAGATGGTATCCATCGATGTCTGGCTTATTTGCATTACTTGGTGTGAGAATCACCTGTTTGTCTTTACATGTGACTAAACCCATGTCCATGAATATTATTTTGCCATTTATATGTGTTCACAATGTTTTGTTCCCATGGACTCCACTTGCATTCATCAGCTTATGCATATACATGTTAAGTAGTATGCATACAAGCTACAATGATACCACTACATTGTTATGATTGCATTGTTACTGATCTGCAGTTTTATTTCTGTAAATGGAAATGTTCTTCCACTTCAAACAGAAGACAATTCATAGCTCATTGATCAAACCCTAGAAGGGTAATACAGAACAGCATATAGATTTTCCATCTCCTCTCTATAAATTCCTTTGATTCTCACCCATGTAGTGTTAGAGTCTCTCTCCATTCATTAAGCATCTATGTAGTCATAAATACACAGCCCTTATCTACCTGCAAAACACAGTCATATATCATACATAAGAATAGTGCTTAAAGTCCATTACAGATAGGTGATATTTTATTACACTCTATAAGATATTGGGAAAATATGGTAGATGTTTCATTAGTGGATAGAGACAATGTGTTGACTTTTTATAGCAATAGCACTTAAACTTATATACTGCTTCATAATGCTTTACCAGCCTTTCTAAGCAGTTTACAGAGTCTTCCTATTGCCCCCAATAATTTGGTTCCTCATTTTATCAACCTCGGAAGGATGGAAGCTGAATCAACCTGGAGCCGGTGAGAATCGAACTGCTGACAGTCAGCAGAATTAGCCTGCAATACTGCATTCTAACCACGGCATCACCACGGCTCCTTTTATGGCAAGAATACCCACTTGCTATCCCACAGAATTCTTCCGCTTGATATATAACTGTGTTTCAAAGGCTAGATGAGGGTTGTACAAATTATTTTAATGCAATGTTTTTAAAATATTTGCTTAATAGGTTTCCTGTGAATAGGGTTTTATTTCTGTTAATTATGTTTGTATTCACACTATGTTAATACATTTTACATACATACATGCATACCTACTTCCAGATCAAACTATTCATTTTCAGGGTAAAAACCCATGAAAGCAGACAGAAGAAATAGTAAACTAAAGAAATTAACAGTGTGATAAGAAAGGTCAAAGGAAATAGGACTAATTGTAACTATTTAAAAAAATATATATTATTGTGCCTTCGAGTCAGTGTAGTGTAGTGTAGCAAGATTTCAGAAATAGTTTACAATTGCCTGTTTTCTAGGGCTGAGAGAAAGTGACTGGCCCAAGGTCACCTAGCTGATTTGGTGCTTAAAGCAGAGCTAGAATTTGCATTTTCTAGCCTGAAGCCTTCATTACTATACCAATTAGGCTCTCAAAATGTAGTATATTTTAACATTATTCCAATATCAGCCTCATTATATTAAAACCAAGGGTAACATGGTGGCTCAATGTTTAAGATGGGGGGTTTGTTGGCTGGAAAGCTGGCAGCCCAAGTTCAAGACATGAGCATTACCTGACAGAATGAGCTCCCGTCCTTGCCCCAGCTCCTGCCAGCCTAGTAGTTCGAAAGCATGCAAATGTGAGTAGATTGGAAAATAACAGTGCTGGCTACATGACCATGGAAATGTCTTCAGACAGCACTGTCTTGAAATGAAGATGAGCACCATCCCTTTTGGTTGGCAGTAAAATCTTCAGGGACCCCCTTATACTAAAACAGTGTTTCTCAACCTTGACCATTTTAAGGCATGTGGACTTCAACTCCCAGAATTCCACAGTCAGCATTGCTGGCTGTGGAATTCTGGGAGTTGAAGTCCACATGCCTTAAAATGGTCAAGGTTGAGAAACACTGTACTAAAACCTTCTCTATACCTTTCTGTTCTCATGCACCATCTTTGCTTTTTTTTTTTAGTACAATCCAACCATGAATTTCTCAGTCTTTTCTTTTCTCTCCACTGATTTACGTTTCCTTCATATATTTGTTTTGTGATTCGTTCATTCTCTTTAAATAATCAAATTCATTTAATTTACTTTTCCATCCTGAATCATTCATTTTTCTTCACTGCCGCCATTGTCGGCCGTTTCCCCTTCTCCGCTTGACTTGTCAAAGCTTCTCCTGGGTTCGTGGCTCCTGGCTGCCGCCTGAATCCACTCCCCAGGGCGCCTTGTTGTTCCCAGTCCCCCTCCAGGGAACTAGGGATCACAAAGGATCTGTCAAACAGTCGGGAACGGGGTTAGATGCTTCAGAGAATCATCCAACACACCCGTTCTTCCTGGCAGCTGGCCCCGCCCCCTCCCCACATTTATTCTTGATCCAATTGCTTTTTGTTATACATACATGCTCCTTATGTATACCATACCCACTGCCTACATACTACTATATGTCTACCCCATGTCCCATGTACTACTACATTTATACCAGCATTTGCACACACTAAATGCAGTTTTGTTTCTATTCATTTGTAACTTGCACTTTCCCTACTAACGCAACTCTTTCCTCTGTGATACATTAGTTTTCAGATCCATTGTCCTCATTGCCCCATAATATCTGCTTAATATTCTCTGCAAATCATTTGGGTTCTCAACCAACAAGAAAGCATTATCTGCACACAAAAGTACACCTACATTCACATCCCCAAGCATCTTAGTTCTAACATTACCATATGCATTCTGTTCATTATGCCTGAGGGGACAAGGGAAGATTACTTGGGCTTGTGTTATACCTGGAGGAACTTCCTTCTGGCTCAGCTGCTGCTATGTGAAACTGAGAGATATGCTTGTGAAAAATATCCAGGTATTCTCCTGTGAAAATACATGGCAGATTGTCTGGCTCTCCCCATTTCAACCATTTGGAAGAGGAGCAGAGTTAAAAAGATTGTGGTTGTCATTTTGGAGATGGAGTTCTCACAGCCACTGAACACACAAACCCCTGATTAGAACCTTCAGCTGTTCAAGTAACTGAAGCAAACTTATATATTCCCATGTGCTCCCCAAAATAAACAAACAACAATACACAAAGGGAAACGCAGTCAGGGCTTGAAAGAAACATTCCCAAATGCATCTTGAGAAATCATACCAGGATCTGTCAGACTTGCTTGGGAAAATTATTCCATCCCATAAAATATTCTCAGGCACTGTTACTGCCATAGGAACCAAAGGGATGAGATTTTTTTTTTAAAAAAAATGTTTTTCTGCTTTAAGAATTAGTCAAAGAATGTATGATTAAATGGGCACAAAATTTTGGTGAACCAGTTCTACTAGATACCTGGGAAACTATTTGGGTGAGGAATGTCAAATTCACACAAGCCCAAAACTTAAGGGAGAATTTTTACAAAATGTTTTATAGATGGCACCTTGATCCACAAAAAATGTCTCGTATGTATTCTGACTTACAGCCTAAATGTTGGAGATGTGGATGTTTGGACGCTACTTACTATCATATCTGGTGGTCGTGTAAACATATAAAAGCTTTTTGGATTAAGATATGGTGGAATAGTCAAAGAATTTTTAGAAGGAGGGTAAAATTTACCCCACAATTGTTCTTGTTAGGTATTGTTACTGATTGTGATACCAAAGAGACTACATTGATGTTAAATTTAATTACAGCCGCAAGGTTGTTAGTAGGGCAATGTTGGAAGAAGGAATTTTTGCCTACTTTGCAAGAGTGGTTTTTTAAAGTTTCTTATTTGGCGGAAATGGGAAAGATTTCGGCTTTCTTGAAGGATCAATCGCAAGAGAAGTATTTTGCGGTATGGAAAAAATGGATAGATTTTATACAATATAAGTTGGATATAAAAATATTATTTAGTTTTTCAATAACTTATATTTAAAATTTAATATTTTATAGATTTTATTTTTTTTATTTTTATTTTATTTTCTTATATCTTTTTTCTTTTTTCCTTTTTTTATTCTTTTTCTTTTTAAGCATTTTTTTCTAATATTTATCTTTTTTATACATACATTATTGTTAATTATCTTATAATTTGTTTAAGTAATGTATTTAGATTTATTTATGGTTTATATCTTTTTAAAGATTTTTTGAAGAAATTTCAATTAAGCCTATATTCAGCTCTGGGAAGGTCGGGGGAGGGAATGGGAGGGTCGGGGAGGTTTGGGCAAGGGTTGTTTTGTTTTTGTAAAATTTTAAAAAATTTCAATAAAAAAAAATGATTTTCTGCTTTAAGAAATCACGACACATTTTGCAACTGTTTAGATTCACAATGCCTAGTGCCATATGGAGACTTAGTATGCAACTTCACATGACTGTTAATGTAATTTGTCCAAGAACTCTTTTTTGAAAGCGAGAGCATTCTGATATGCACATGTTCCTTAGTAGACTTTTACAGTGCAAATTCTTGTGTGTTAATCTCTTTTAAGGAATAGTGGACCTTTGATATAATGGAATTTAATTTAGCAGACTTCAATGCAATGGACAAAGTCTGTCTGTGTATATTTTATGTGTCTATACATTGGTAAAATACCATTTGTCATTTCTCATTAAGATATGTAAAAGACTCATGAATATGCTCAAATATTTAACATACACCTTCATGAAAGTTTATGAAATGGATACCTGTCCATCCATAACATATCTGCCCTATTAGAGTTAATTCTGCTAGTTTTTAATTACATTGCAGAAAGAGCCAGTTTCTAAACCAGAGCCCAAGTAGCATACTGATTAGAATGCGTTATTGCAGACAAACTCTGCCCACAGCCTGGAGTTCGATCCTGATGGGGGCTCAAGGTTGACTCAGACTTCCCTCCTTCCGCGATCGGTAAAATGAAGACATAGATCATTGGGGCCATATGCAAGTACAGATAGTTTTCAATCACAACTGAGCCTCACATTTCAGTTATTAAGTGAGAATTTGTTAAGTGTGTTTTGCTCCATTTTACGACCTTTCTTGCCACAGTTGTTAAGTGAATCACTGCAGTTGTTAAGTTAG